GATGAGGTCTTGCTGCCCAGGCGGGTCTCGAACCCCCGGGCTCAGGCAATCCACTCACCTCAGCCTCCCAAAGGCGCAGGATTACAGGCTGAGCCACCGAGCCTGGCTTGTTTCTTCTTATGAAAATGCTTTTGGGGTAATGACAGTTCCTATCTCACGGGACCTCGGTAGGGAGTGAAAGGAACAACGTACGTACAGAGCTTTGCAAAGACTTGGCACAACAAATGCTCATCATTATTATCACTGCCCATTTTGCTGTAATGGGCACTTGGGTGACACCAGGAGGGAGGTGTCCTTGGAGGGAAATGTACAATTCCTCACTCCTCTGCCATGGCCCTAACCATGGGCAGCACCGACCAACAGGCTGGTCCATCTGTCCCTCTGTGTGCCAGGCATCTCATACCAACTCTGGCTTCTCCTGCCAGGCTCTGTGGCACTGGCTACTGCCCTCGGCTGACCCCTTGCCAGCCTAGCTCCACAGGGCTCAGCTCCTGGCCTGGGGGGCCCAGGGCCTACCCCAAACTAACCTCTCTGGGAGGCAGGAAGAATTTTCCTGGCTCTGGACTGCAAGACTGCACCTGTGTCACTGAAGCCTACTGTCTGCATCTGCCCCAAACCCTCTGGTCTTACAAACACGGGCGGGGGGCAACCAGGCTGGCACCTACCTTAGTAGGTCAATGTCAGTGTAGCCGTATTTGACCTTGTAGTCCCCAATGCGCCTGGTGCTCTCCTGCCCACAGATGATCCCCACCTGCTTGATCTTTCCTGCGTCCAAACCTACCAGAAGGAGAACATGATGGTCCCCTCTTGTTCAAAAAGAAGAACAAAAGCAAGGGAAAAGAGACACAGCCATGGAAAGAAGGCAATGAGGACCCGCTGAACAGGAAGTGAAGCCAACTCCAGGGCCTGGGAGAGCAGCTAACCTGAGAACCCAATTTCCTCAGTCCAGTCGCCATCCTATCAGAACAGCCCCTCCCTCAGCCCTCGTCCATGTGCACCCCAGTGCCGCCTAGCACAGAGCAGCAAGCTGGCTTGCGCCTGCCCCACCGTGTGCCCCATGTCTGTTGGAGCTCCCTGGGTAGAGAGGAGTGGCTCAGTAGCAGCTGGAATCTCAGACTTTGTGGCCTCTCTCAGACTCCACCAGTAACAGTGAGTACCTCCTTTGGGTTAGGTACTTCAGGAAGCGCGTTACACGTATTAATCTTTTTTAGTCCTCACACACCCAGAGTAGGTCACTATTATCCTTATTACACAGATGAGGAAACCAAGGCACAGAAAACTGCAGCAAGCTGCAATCACCAACTAGAAGCACAGAGCTGGGATCCAACCCCAAGAAGGCTGATTCCAGAGGCCAGGGCCCTAGTCCCTCTACTACAAACCTCCATGCAGCCACCAAAAGCAGGCACAAGGTGAGTCTATGGAGGTCAGCCCCCCACTCCCACTGACCCTTTGGCCATGCATTTTTCTCCACTCACCAAGCTGCGAAAGGCGGAAGAGCTCATCCTCATTCTCCGTGGTATGGTCCACGTTCAGCTGTGTCACCTGCAGCCCATCCACTGTAGACTTGCATAAAAGCGCACGGTTTGTACCTGTGGCAGAATGGGAGCAGCTGAGCATAGACTAAGCACAGACAAAAACAGGACATGTTGAAAAGACAAAGAGAGAAAGACATGCAATGCGCACATGGAAATACATGAAAAAGCAGAGATGGGTTCAGACCACAGAGTGGGTCACCAGTCAGTAACAGTGATATGAAGGAATAAGGTTAAACTTTTACAGGGTAATCATAGGATTATGATTTTTTTTTTGAGTTGGAGCCTCACTCTGTCGCCCAGGCTGGAGTGCAGTGGCCGCTCCCGGCCACCGCATCCTCGATCTGCTAGGCTCCGGCGATCCTTCCGCCTCAGTCTTCCAAGTAGCCGGAACTACAGGCGCCCGCTACCATGCCCAGCTAATTTTTGATTTATTGTAGAGATGAGGTCTCGCCAAGTTGCCCAGGCGGGTCTCGAACCCGTGGGCTCAGGCAATCCACTCACCTCAGCCTCCCAAAGGCATGGGATTACAGATTGAGCCACCGAGCCCGGCTATGATTTTAATTTTTTTAAAAACCCATCTTTCTCTAGAGAGACATATTGAGATATTTACAGATAACATGACAGTGTCTGGGGTGTGCTTTCAAGTAACATGGGATAAAGGGCCATGAACAAGACTGGCTGCAAGCTGGTAGCTGCTGGGGGTGGGATGGGCATGTGAACGTTGGTTAACTACTCCCCACTCTGTTTTTTTATATTTTGAAAATTTGTCCATAATGAAATTTTAAAGAAAAGAGGAAGAGTGGGAAGGCATCGTCAGTGGGGTTTCTAGAGCTCCTACAGTAATCTGTACCCTGTATGGCCTGCTCACAAATCCCAGCATCCCTGTCGCCCAGCCCCCTATCTCATAGCTGCTCACAAGGATGCCAAGAGGTCTTCCCCAGCCAGGTAACCTCTTCTGGAAGCAGCAGCCACCGAGGCCACTTAGAAGTGGGACGCGACTCATGCAAAGCAAGTGAGAGGCAGAGTGAGGACCACAAGCCAAGATGACTGCCTCCCACGCCCTCCTCTCTCCCTTCCAGCTGGGACTGAGACATCGCAGTGGAGAAAGAAATGTATCCAAGCGGCCTCAGGAGGCTATGGGCCTAAAGTATCTTAGATGTCTGGAAGCAGATTGCCAAATGAGGCTGACTGCCTCTCCCGCAACCCCTCCCGCTCTAGGATAGGGGGGCAGCTCACCAACATTGGCGACGTACAGCTTGTTGTTGAGAAGGACAGCCACGACGGCCATGGCCCCTCCTGAAATCTCCCTCTCCAACACCTTGAGTCTCTCAAGAATCTTCTGGTACTGGGGAGGCAGCTGGTGCTGAGGGACACCCTACAACCCACCACAGAGGGGTCAGGGCAGGACAGTCTCAGTATCATCGTATCAACCCTCTCCCCTTTTAAGAGCAAGGATCCAAGGCCCTGGAGGAGGGACAGATGGCCTCTGGCACAACAGAGGAAGCCTGGACTGCCACTCCAGGACAAGGTTCTCCCAGGAAAGCCAGAGATGACCTAACTCAGAGGACCAGAACACAGGTGTTGGCCCTGACAGTGCTGGTGGGTGATGTGAGCAGGTGGGTGACAAGGCTGTAGACTGACTGGGATCAAAGGACCTGGAAAGGCCTTTCTTCATGTCCATCACTGCCCTCCCAATGCTGAGATAAGAGTGATGCTGCCCACAGCAGTCCAGGCAGGCTCCTCGAGGGCAAGCCCATTGCCACCCACCAATGTCCCCATCAGGAACTGTCACCATAACCTGCTGTTCTGGCCCAGTTATGTCAACAGCCTGTGAGTGACAAAGCAAATGAGTCCTTGCTCCTGGCAAAGACTTGACTTGCCTCCCCGGGTGTGGGCAAGGAAACTAACCTCTGGCAGCTGGGACTGCAAGCTTGCCTTCTCAGCCAAGCTATCGTCAATGGACTCCAGGAAGCTCCTCTCCACCACATCGAAGGCCTAGTGGGTCAGAGGAGAGGGGTTGGTTTAAATCACAACTGTTATCTGATGCTAAAATGCCCCCTACTGATAGCAGCAAATTCATGGTATTCACTGTCCTGACGTGCCGTGGGCTTGACACACACTCTGCTTCCTACCTGGCACTGCAAGATATCCACTGTTTCCTGAAGTTCACCATCTCTGACAAAGCCCTTCAGCCCCTGGGGGTTGATGCGCCACAGAGGTGGCACTGTAGAGGGATCAGAGAGGCAGGACAGTGCAGACGCTAAGAGCACAGGCTTGGAAGAGGATACCTGGCTGTGAACTCTGGCTTTGCCACCTCCGTCTCCTCATCTGCACAACGGAGATAAGTGCTGTTCTGAGAGCAAAGTAAAATAACTCAGCACAGCACCTGGTTCAGAGAAACTTCCAGACCAACAGCAGACAGCTCTTATGATTACTACGACCTCTTCCTGGGAGGTTTCTGTCAAACTCCACGAGACCCTGGACACTGGTGACAATGACACCATCCCAGGGTGTGGGATCTTCTGAGAATCACTGGCATAAGAGTCCTGAGGCAATGAAGGACAGGAAAAGGCTGGGACCACTGTCCTCAAGGAAGAGAAACCAGCTGGGCTCGGTGGCTCAGCCTGTAATCCCAGAGCTTTGGGAGGCTGAGGTGAGTGGATTGCCTGAGTCCATGGGTTCGAGACCCGCCTGGGCAACTTGGCGAGACCTCATCTCTACAATAAATCAAAAAATTAGCCAGGTGTGGTAGCGCGCACCTGTAGTTCCAGCTACTTGGAAGACTGAGGCGGAAGGATCGCCAGAGCCCAGCAGGTCGAGGCTGCGGTGGCCAGAAGCGGCCACTGCACTCCAGTCTGGGCGACAGAGTGAGACTCCAACTCAAAAAAAAAAAAAAAAAAAAAAAAGGAAGAGAAACCATGTCTCCTACATGCTCTAAGGGAGATGCCAGGAAGAAAGCCCTAAACAGTGGCAAGTGGAAAGGCAGGACTGGACAGAGGGCCATAGCCAAGCAGACATGAGAGGCCAGACTTTCATCCAAATGTCCAAGGATGCCTGTAGCCCCTGGCTCAGTGGAGGAAGGGGTCGCTCTAAGTGACCCCATTCCTACCATTTCTGCTCTGCTTCCATCGCACACTCTGTCCAAGCTCATGTCCCTAAACTCCTCTTTCTCCTTTCTCCAGCAGCACCTCCCCCAGAGCCCACCCCGGCAGTCAAGAAGGCCTGCTATGCACTGCCTGGTCCTGACTCCTGGGGAGGGTCTTCAGCCCAATCCTGGTAATACATTACAGGTACAGGCCCAGGTTCTAGGGGCTGGGGGCCACAGTCTGGCTGGGTCACTGCCAGTCCCAGCACCACTACCTGCAGCAGCACGCGCCGCACATCGGCCTCAGTGTGCTCAGTGCTGAGCTGGCCCAACAGGAGCTCTGCAGATAGCCGCTGGGCCACGAAGTTGGTCACCCGGTTGCCATCGTAGCCATTGAAGACCCCATACAGGAAGCAGTTGTTCTCACTCCTGGCAGGGGAGAGGACAAAAGGGGGCCTGAGACCAGAAGGTCAGAGGTGGAGAGAGAGAGGGAAAGGAACTGGGGGAGACCAAAGACACAGAAACTGTGGCCCAGGCACCGTCCCAATCTGGCCATCAATTCACTGGGGCAGTGTCCTTCCCAGATGCCCTCTTCCCCACGCTCACCTAAACCCCTGATATAGCAGGCCCTTGGCCAGTCTGAAGTCCAGCTACGAAAGGGACAGCAGTGGATGCCACCTCCCACAGGCCACACCTCACTGGCAAGTCCAATATGAGACAACTACAAGATAGGAACCTTTCCTCGCTTGCAAACCAACTTCCTGTGCCCAGGGAAGCAATGCCAGCACACACACCTGAACTTGAGCCAGTTGTCCTCTGGTGGGTGGCACTCAGTGCTCTTGCCATCAGCAGAGTAGCTGCGGTTGGAAGCTGAACCAACGCCAGAGAGGTGGCAGAGTGGCAGGTCATCCGTCCAGCTTGGCTGCTGCTCCTGGGGAAGGACACCAGGAAGCTATGACATGCCACCTCTTCCCCAAGGCAGACCCACCTCACCTTTTCCTCCTCCAACAAAAACCTAGCAGGCCTGGAACTTCACACAGAAGGGTCCTTCTGGCAAAAAATGACGCTGGCATGAACAGATACCCACAGACAACTTTGCTGTTTTTATGGCTAGTCCGCACACTGGTTCCCCAGGAAACCTGGAATGGACTCCAGCGTTCCCAAATGCAAGGCTGGGCAAGGGCTTCTGGGAAGCACTGATGTTATGCATGCGAGTGGAAACATACATAAAGGAAACAAGCCCTTGCTCAGAAACTTTGGGGGTGCCGCCTCTCACTGTAGGAGCTCTGGCTGCATAGTGCTAAGGAATCCCTTGGGCACTGGTTAAACTGCAGACTGCCATCCTCAGGATGTCCAATCCGGACAGGGCTAGGATATCTGCATTGTGGGCAGGCATAATGATTCTCATCCAGGTGGCCTAGGCCCTGGCCTGGAGAGGCTAGTCTCCATCACTCTCCCTAGCACTGGAGCCTTCACCACTCTGGTGTCATTGTGCATCTCCCCTGCCACATCCTTCTCTGCCCTGTCCATCCCCTGCACTTTCCTTCCAGGTGAACACCTCCTTCTTCTTGCCTAGCAATTCTCCACATCCCGCAGGACTCTGGCTCAGAAGTCACCACCTTCAGGGAGTCTTCCTTCAGGACAACCCTCTCCAGGTTTGGCTGACGGCCCTCTTGTGTACCCTGTGCATCCTGGTTCCATAACCCCAGCCTGTTTGTGTCTGACTCCCATTCTACCCCATAAGATCTCAAACCGGGCTGTTCAGCATAATCACTGCAGAGCTCTAAACGCATACACACAGAAAATCTAGGCCCTGGCCCACACATGTCCATTACTCTGATTTCCTAAATCTCCCTGGGAGCACCCTGAGCATCTGTATTTTGATAAGCCCCAGAAACAGCTATGACGTGAGGCCCAGGTGCGATCCCCTGACTCTCCCTGAAAGCTTGTCCCACATCTGGCTTTCCACCTGAAAGCTGTGTCCTGCTCACAAGGGCACTCCCAGGACCACCGTGTTGAACTAGAGCAAACCAAAACACTGGGAGAATCAACATTCAATTTCTAGGAAAATAATTAAAATCTGTATTGACAGCTTTATTGAAATATTAAATGAACACAAATAATGTGTGCAACTTATTACAAGCTACTGTTAACAGTCTTCAAAAGAGGATGTAAAAAATCACTTCAGTAGGCTTTTGCACTCAGATATGTAAGAAGCCTGTGGTAAGCTTCTTTGTCAAACTTTACCTTCTGTTTAGTTATATATCGACAGGGAGTGACTTTACAAATTTGGTTCATTTTAATTGCTTTTATGCTGCATTCATCTAGTTTAACACTTATTAATAGTTCTATACTTTGCGCCTTGGAGATACTTCTGCAGGGTGTGGGAGTTTGTTTCATTTTTAAATTAACACGTAGTGAAACTGACTCCTTTGGGCGCGCAGTTCTTTTTTTTTTTTCTTTTTTTTGAGTCAGAGTCTCATTCTGTCGCCCAGGCTGCAGTGCAGTGGTACACTCATGGCCACTGCAGCCTCAACTTGTTGGGCTCAGGTGATCCTTCCACCTCAGCCTTCCAAGTAGCTGAAACTACAAGCATGTACCACCACACCCGGCTTCTTAAAATTTATTTACTGTAGAGATGAGGTCTCACCATGTTGTCCAGGCTGATCTCGAACCCATGGGCTCAGGCAATCCTCTCACCTCTGCCTCCCAAAGTGCTGGAATTATAGGAGTAGGCCACTGTGCCTAGCCTGGGCGTGCAGTTCTATGAATGTTGATACATGTAGAGATCTGTGTGACAGTCCCCCCATTCAATCATGTGCTGCCTGTGTGGAGTCATGCTTTCCCCTAGCCCCTGGCAACCACTGACCAGTTCCCCACCATAATGGTTCTATCTTGTCAAGAATGTCACATAAATGAAATCAGGCAGGATATATCACCTCCCGAGACCAGCTTCTGCACAGCATTATGCCTTTAAGATTCAACCCAAGCAGGGCATGGTGGCTCACGCCTATAATCCCAGCACTTTGAGAGGCGAAGACAAGAGGATTGCCTGAACCCACAGGTTTGAGATCAACCTGGGCAACATGGTGAGACCTTGTCTCTACAATAAATAAATTTTTAAAAAATTGGGCCGGGCTTGGTGGCTCAGCCTGTAATCCCAGCACTTTGAGAGGCCAAGACAAGTGGACTGCGTGAGCCTGCGGGTTCGAGACCAGCCTGGGCAACATGGTGAGACCTCATCTCTACAATAAATCAAAAAATTAGCTGGGCATGGTAGCATGTGCCTATAGTTCTGGCTACTTAGAAGGTTGAGGCGGAAGAATCGACAGAGCCCAGCAGGTTGATGCTGGGGTGGCCGTGCGTGTGCCACTGCACTCTAGCCTGGCAACAAAGTGAGACTCTACTTCCAAAAAAAAAAAATTAGTTGGGCACAATGGCCCATGCCTGTAGTTCCAGCTACTTGGAAGGCTGAAGCTGAAGGATCACCTGAACCCAGAAGATTGAGGTCACAGTGGCCATGAGCGTGCCACTGCACTCCAGCCTGGGCAACAGAGTAAGACTCTGACTCAAAAAAAAAAAAAATCACCCCAGTTGTTGCTTGCATGCATTAATAGTCTGTCCCTCATTTTTGCAATCATATTTCATTGCATGGCTGGCTGGAGCACAGTTTGTATATCCATCTATCCACTGATGGACACTGGAGCTATTTCTAGCTTTTTATAATTATGAAGAGAGCTGCTATAAACATTCACGTACAGGTTTTTGTGTAAACGTAACTTCATTTCTCTAGGGCAAATACCTAGGTGTGAGACTACTTGCTTGGTCATCTAGTATTAGAGAGTATATGTTTCACTTTATAAGAAACTGTCAAACCATTTTGCAGAGTGGCTGCACCACCTGCATTCTCAAGCACAGAGGAGTTCCAGCTGCTCTGTACCCTTATCACCATGCAGTTTTATCTTTTTTCTAATTTAGATATTCTAAGAAGTGTGTACTTGCACTTTCCTAATGGCTAATGATGTTAAGCATCTTTTCATGTGCTTATTTTCACCTAGCCTCTTTGATGAAGTACCTGCTTAAGTTTTAAGTCCATTTTTTTTTTTTTTGAACTGGAGTCTCACTCTGTTGCCCAGACTAGAGTGCAGTGGCATGCTCCTAGCCACCGCAGCCTCGACCTGCTGGGCTCCGGCGATCCTTCCGCCTCAACCTTTTGAATAGTCGAACTACAGGCGCACGCTACCATGCCTGGCTAATTTTTGATTTATTGTAGAAATGAGGTCTTGCTAAGTTGCCCGGGCGGGTCTTGAACCAGCGGAGTCAGACAATTCACTCACCTCAGCCTCCCAAAGCGCAGGATTACAGGCTGAGCCCCCAAGCCCGTCCTTTTTTTTTTTTTTTCATTGAGTCAGACTCTCACTGTCACCCAGGCTGGAATGCAGTGGCACAATCACAGTCACCTCGGCCTCAACCTGCTGGGTTCAGCAAATCCTTCCACCTCAGCTTCCCAAGCAGCTGGGACTATAGGTGCATGCCACCACACTTGGCTAATTTTTGAATTTATTGTAGAGATAAGGTCTTGCCAAGTTGCCCAGGCTGGTCTCAAACCCATGGGCTCAGGCAACCCTCTCGCCTCCACCTCCCCAAGTAGCTGGGATTACAGGCATGAGACACCACACCCGGCAATGTCCGTTTTTAAACTGTGTTATTTTCTTAACTACTGTGCCTGAGAGTTCCTTACATAGTTTAGATAAAAATCCTAGTTGGATATGTGATTTGAAAATACTTTTTCAGCCGGACTCGGTGGCTCAGCCTATAATCCTGCACCTTTGGGAGGCTGAGGTGAGTGGATTGCCTGAGCCCGCGGGTTCGAGACCTGCCCTGGCAACTGGGCGAGACCTCATCACTACAATAAATCAAAAATCAAAAATTAGCCGGGTGTGGTAGCGCACGCCTGTAGTTCCAGCTACTTGGAAGGCTGAGGCAGAAGGATCGCCGGAGCCCAGCAGGTCAAGGCTGCGGTGGCCGGGAGCAGCCACTGCACTCTAGTCTGGGCGACAGAGTGAGACTCCAACTCAAAAAAAAAAAAAAAAAAGAAAAAGAAAATACTTTTTCTTGTCTGTAGCTTAGCATTTCACTCACTTATACTGTCTTTTGAAGAACAAAGTTTTTAGTTTAGATTATACCCATTTTATCCACTGTTTCTCTTTCATGGTTCATGCTTTTTGGAGTCATGCTTAAGAACTCTTTGTCCAGTCCCAGATCACAAAGATCTCCTATGTTTCCTTCTAAAGTTTTTTTTTGTTTTTTTTTTGAGTTGGAGTCTCACTCTGTTGCCCAGACTGGAGTGCAGTGGCCGCTCCTGGCCACTGCAGCCTTGACCTGCTGGGCTCCGGCAATCCTTCCGCCTCAGCCTTCCACGTAGCCAGAATTACAGGCATGCGCTACCACGCCCGGCTGATTTTTTGATTTATTGTAGAGATGGTCTTGCTGCCCAGGTGGGTCTTGAACCCGCGGGCTCAGGCAATCCACTCACCTCAGCCTCCCAAAGGCGCGGGATTACAGGCTGAGCCACCAAGCCCAGCATGTTTTTTTGTTTTTTTTTTTTAGTCACTCTCTCACTCTGTTGCCCAGGCTGGAGTGCAGTGGCACGCTCATGACCACCGCAGCCTCGACCTGCTGGGCTCAGGTAATCCTTCTGCCTCAGCCCTCCAAGTAGCTGGAACTACAGGCATGGGCCACCATGCTGGCTAATTTTTGAATTTATTGTAGAGACGAGGTCTCACCAAGTTGCCCAGGCTGGTCTCAAACCCCTGGTCTAAGACAATCCTTTCGCCTCAGTCTCCCAAAGTGCTGGGATTACAGCCATGAGGCATCTCGCCCAGCTTCCTTCTAAAAGTTGTATAGTTTTACGTTTAAATATGTACTCTA